GATGATTTTCAGTTATTGTGGCCTGATGATGTGGACAGGTGTTTGGACAAGTACGTCCCACCACCTGCTTATTGGACCCTTGCCCATCTTGGTTACTTGACAAAGCCAGGCATGGGATAGGGACCTGGATCCTGGAGGTTGTCAATGTCTCTCTGAGGGATGGCCGGGTACCTGCCCCTTTAAAGAAAGCAGTAGTCCAGCCAGTCCTGAAGAAGGCATCCCTGGATCCAGAGATGGCCACCAATTATAGACCGGTGGCCAACATCCCGTTCTTGGGCAAGAGTGGGTGGTGGCGGAACAATTCCAAGCACTCTTGGATGAAATTGATTATCTGGACCCATTTCAGTCCGGCTTCAGACCGGGTTATGGTACTGAATCTGCCTTGGTCGCCCTGTATGATGACCTGTGCAGGGAGAGAGACAGGGGGAGTGCGTCCCTGTTGGTTCTCCTGGACCTCTCAGCAGCTTTCAATACCATCAACCATGGTATCCTTCTGGATAGGCTAGCGGGATTGGGGGTTGGGGGCACTGCTTTGCAGTGGTTCCACTCCTATCTCAATGGCCGTTTCCAGAAGGTGGTGCTGGGGGACTGTGGCTCTGTGCCATGGCAGCTATGCCATGGAGTTCCGCAGGGGTCCATTTTGTCCCCCTTGCTATTCAACATCTACATGAAACCGCTGGGAGAGGTCATTAGGAGGTGTGGGCTGCGGAATCATCAGTACGTTTATGATACCCAGCTCTACCTCTCATTCTCAACTAATCCAGGTGAGGCAGTGACTGTACTGAACCGGTGCCTGGCTGAGGTAATGGGCTGGATGAGGGCCAACAAACTGAAGCTCAATCCAGACAAGACGGAGGTCCTGTTGGTGCGTGGTTTGGACTCTGGGGTGGGGACCTGGACCTTGTCCTGAATGGGGTAGCACTCCCTCTGAAGGACAGGGTCCGCAGCCTGGGGGTGCTCCTCGACCCAAAGCTGACCTTGGAAGCTCAAGTGTCGGCCGTGGCGAGGAGCGCTTTCCATCAGCTTCAGCTGATCCGTCAGCTGCATCCCTACCTGGAGGACGATTGCCTGGTGACAGTGATGCATGCATTGGTCACTTCTCGATTAGACTTCTGCAATGCGCTCTATGTGGGGCTGCCCCTGAAGACGGTCCAGATACTTCAATTGGTGCAAAATAGAGCTGCCAGGTTGCTGACGGGGACTGGGCATTGTTCTCATATAAACCCAGTCCTTCGTCAGCTTCACTGGCTCCCCATTGAAGTCCGGGCCCAATTCAAGGTGCTGGTGCTTACCTATAAAGCCCTAAACGGCTTGGGACCTGGGTACCTGAAGGAGCGCCTCCGTCCATACTTGCCCTCCCACCCTCTAAGATCGGCGGCAGAGGCCCTTCTTCGGGAACCCTCCATGAGGGAAATTAGGTGGGTGAGTACCCAGAGGAGGGCCTTTTCTGCAGTGGCGCCCCATCTGTGGAATGCGCTCCCCAGAGAGGTCCGCCTGGTACCATCATTATTTGCTTTTCGGCACCAGGCCAAGACCTTTTTATTTAAAAGTTATTTTAATTGATTGTTAAATTATTGCTTTTATCTAACTCCGGGATGTTTCTAATTCTGTATATTTTTGTATATTGTTATTTATTTGTTGGAAGCCGCCCTGAGGCTTATGCGAATGGGGCGGCATACAAGCACTCTAGATAGATAGATACATAGATAGATACATAGATAGATACATAGATAGATACATAGATACATAGATAGCAAAGCTTTATCCAGCCCTGGCTTCAGTTCTGTTGACTTTGAATCGGGGCCTAATTAGCCTCAGGAAGCTACTGACCCAATTCTGTTCAAGCTTCTTCTGAACCTGTTGCATATCCCTATTCCTGTACAACAGTATATGTTATGAGTGTAGACCGCCTTCGAGCCTTGAGCCCCTTAAATAACTATGCTAGTATTGTTACTGTCATTGATATTGGACTCAGAGATTACGTGGCTGTGTAAGTCTAAGAGCATTTGGTCCCATTGCGGTCCTGTGTAATGTGTAAGGCTATTACACTGAACAGAATGTGATCCCTGGTAAGTGTGTTTACGATCGCAGCCTTAAAATATTAACTAGCATGCTACTGGAAAATTAGAAAAAAAGCCTGTCTGAATGTGCTGTGCTTCTTAATAGCTTGACAGCTCTGTTTTTGTGCATGTGTGCGTGTGTGGCAGAGAGCTTTCTTCAGCATGCATTGCTGATTTCATATTACTATGTGGCTTTTTCAATCTGTATGTTGTAAGTAATCCTATTAGTATTCCATGGTTCCAGGGACCACTAGGATTCTCTGCATCACAGATTTATTAAAGGATAACTCCTTTAGTGGCCTTGAAAAGATGTCTCCAGATGTGAGGCTTGCCACTTTCAGCTAGGTAGATCCTTTTTAGTACAGCAGTAACAGGGACAGAGTTGCTGTTGGAAGGAAACAGGAGTATAAGGCCCAGGTGAAATACTTGGGAAGCAGTGGCCCTAGTTAGTACATTTGGGAGCCACCCCCCCCCCCCACCCACCTTTTCCCAGGCCTTTCCTTTTTCTGAATGATGTTCATGGGAGACAAGGAAGATCCAGTTTCTGGTGCTGGGCAAGCATTATGGTGGTTATTATTGCAGTTTCTGGAGGGAAGCCTGTTTCTCATGGCACCACATTAGCATGATGTGGAGATGCTAGTATGTCAGGATGCGAAGCCAAGGCAGCAGAGATGAGATGGAGGAGTGCTTTCAAAATCAGAGCTGACTCCTCCTGCTGAAATCAGCATTCAGGGTCAGACTGTGAAGATGGAGGAGGGGGCTGAGGGAGAGGGAGAAGCATTCAAGAAGCCTACCAGTCCTCCTCCAGGATTTTTCCCCTTCTTCTTTCTTTCTTTTCTGGAAATTATAGCCTTGCTTTGCTTTCCTTTGTTTCAAAACAAAAAAGCCTGAAGTGGGAAAAAAGTGAGTCAGGCAAGGCAGAATCCTCATGCATTTGCCCATGAAAACAGCCCAATTCGACAGGGTTTTCTTTTGTTCTTTCTCTTCCTCCTCCCCCACTCTCCATAGTATAATCTGAGGTTGTCGCCTGTCTTCTAAGTAACGAAGCGTAGATTGAATTCCTTTCAATGTTCGCTACTGTACAACAAGCATGTAGAGTCCCATCACCCCACTGCCTCAAACAACTGAGTTTCTCTCCAAGTTCACCAGGTCCTAAACAAATTAAGTAGGAATGTGAGCATTCTTAATTATAGTTAATCATTCTGGGAGTTTTCAGCAGTGTGCATGCAGGTACTCAAGTCACTTGTTTATACACAAATACACAAAACAGTCCTGTGATGTTGAGGTTAGACTGAGAGTGGCTGGCCTTAAGTTATCCATTGACCTTCATGACTGGGTGGGGATTTGAACCAGGGCTCTGGTCCAGAGCTAAGCTGGATATTGAAAAACAGCTCAACTCTTTTTCGGGAACAGTTCTGGACCTTCTCCACTGGGCCCTCTCTTCCTTCCCCCACTACTGAAATCCAAATCTTTCCCACCCAGCCCCTCATAATTGCTCAGTGTAGCACTTTGGATATATGTACATCAGTCTTTAATAAGTTTTTGATAATATATTTCGCCAGTAGAGGCACAGAAGTTTGAGTTGTTCGCAGGAAGTAAAAAGAATGGCTGAAAGACTAAGCCACTGCAATGCATATAGATGAAGAATAGCTGTGCAGGAGGACTTGCAAAAGTGCATGGTACAGGGAAAGAGTAGATAATTTCATATTGTGCATGGGATTAACAAATTTATTCCTCAGTGTTTATCCTTATTTAGCTAAAAAGTCTCCATATATTCTTGGTAGGGAATTATCTGCAAACTTACAAAAAGCCTAAGGGCCTAAGGTTAATGGAAGAACAAAAAAGGGGGGGGGTTAACTCTCTAAGGAGTGGGGGGAACCCAAAAACAACACAGTTACAACTGGGCACTGAATACCAACCAACATTTCAGGGGGAGAAATAGAAAACCTGGGACAAGGAGATACGGAATGAAGCATCCCAGAAGAGGCCTGGCTGGAACCCTGAACAAGAGTATTCTGCTTACATTTTATGGAAGGCCCAATTTGTTACAGAATGTATTAGGGAACTGATAAATACTGGCTACTGTGTGTTTTTATTTGGACAGTCAGTTTTTGATTCTATTTACATGCTTACTGTACATGTAAGAAAAGGCTGAATCAGGCAGCTCCATGGGAATATGGAATCTCCATGGACCAAATTAGGCTTGTGTATTGGAAGTTCCCCATCCCTGCTGTATGCCATACCAAAAAGATAGGATTAACTTTTTCAGTCATTGCATTATTTAAATATGGACAATTAATGGTTCTTTCAGTTCTGTTATTCCACATGGCGCTTTTTTCCTCATGAATCAACAATTACTCCACGTGCTGCTAAACCTTCCATTTCATGGAAGGTTGCAGTAATCTCCGTATTCAACTCTCCATCATCAGTTCTTGGTTTCTGCCTCCTGTATGATTTATATTCCCATAGACCACGTGCTTTGCATATACCCTATGGCTGAGGGAGGCTGAGCCCTTCAAGGAAAAAGCCAATGACGCTCCATCCTCCTGTTACTCAGTATGGAACACAATCAGCAGGAAGTTCTTCTGTGCATGCTGTATTGGGATTAATGGGAGCACCGGGAAGTGTGTTGAGTGCTTCCTTTTCATTTTAAATGCACTTCTGCAGAAGAAAGTCCCTGTGCACAGTGGGTCATATCCATTGACCTGCAAAACCATCCCTATTTTAATGGGATGAAAAATCTGCACACACCCCACATGTTGTCATATTTTTTCTCTGGGGCCTTTGGAACAATGCATTTTGTGGGCAGTTACATTACATTTCTTGAATGTATATTGTGTAGACTAAATTCAAGCATTCATCTACATACCTAAGAAGCATTTTTCTCTATCTGCATTTGTTCTTAAGGTTTTGTTTGGTTCTCTTTGCTAAATTCAACAGGGAATGGATATGGCAACCCCCGAAACTCACCAGGTCTGCTGGTCTCACCTGGCAACTTGAACAAGAATATGCAAGCAAAGTCTCCTCCTCCTATGAACTTGGGAATGAACAATCGTAAACCAGATCTCCGAGTGCTGATCCCACCAGGCAACAAGAATACGATGCCATCCGTGGTAACCCTTTTTCTCCTTCCTCCTCACAATTCTAAATATTCCAGTATGCACTGAGGCCAAGGTTGATTGAATGCTCAGGGCAGGAGTGGGCAACTTGTAGCCCACCATATATTTTCATCTAAAGCTCCCATCAGCCAGTGTTAAAGGATAATGGGAGTTATTATGCCCACATTCCTGGAGGGCCACAGATCACCCACTGCTTGCCTGATTTATCTGTTGTGTGACTCACAGGTTCAGGAGAGCAGTTGTTCAAGCCTTCTCATGTGTAAAGCAACACTTATGAGGCAACTTTAATTGCAGCTTAAAACAACAAATGTTAAAAGTGTGGACTGAATGATGTAGATTGTTTTTCAATCAAATTAATTCTGACCTCTTTAGAAACATACTACATCAAAATCACTGTGCCTGGAATTTGATGTGATGTTTAATAGAACAGGACTCCAAAATACTGCATTCTGAATATGCAATCTCTTTTTTTTTTCTGTCCCCCCTCCTTCTTTTTCTCACCCTGCTTTTCTCTAATCCTCCTTGCTTTCTTTTCTTTTCCTTTCTACCACTTTTCTCATATTGGGAAGACTTCTCCTAGTCTGAGCTCTGAGTGGTTTAAAACTGCTTTTAAAAGCTGTTTGACTTCATTGTCCTTTTGATCAATCCCAAAGTTATGTTAGCATTATTTGATACTGCAGCTGTTCAGGAAAGTAAACATGGAGATGTGCTGTGAAATTCACACATCCCACTTTTAAAATTTAAAATTAAGATAAGGGGCGGTTGGGGGTTTTTCTGTCCTCCTCAATTGACCTTGATGCACAATATTAGTTCAACTGGAATGTCAAATGTGGTTTTGAACTACAAGAACAAACCTGGGAGGAGTGTGCTCATTCTGTGCAATTGGCCACTCCCTGCCCTTATGGTGCAAACCAGGTTTGCAATCCTGACTTTCAGAACAAGCACAAAACTTTGAAATTTTTTGCACATTCCAAACAAATGCCAGGGGAGGGCTCACATTTGTGCCTGCTTTTCTATAAGTATCTCAAAGGCTGTCACAAAGAGGAAGGTCAAGATCTCTTCTCACTGATACCAGAGAGTAGGACACGGAATAATCAATTCAAGTTGTGACAACCCAGATTCAGGCTAGATATCAGGAAAAGCTCCCTCGCTGTCAGAGCAATACAACAGTGGAACCAGCTGCCTAGAGAAGTGGTGGGCTGTTCCACTCTAGAGACATTCAGAAAGAAACTAGACAGCCTTCTGAGAGGGATGGTGTGACCTGATGTCTTGCAACAGCAGGGGATTGGGACCAATGGCCTTCAAGGCCTCTTTCAACTCTACTATTCTGTTATTCTAGTGCTCACGCAAAGGACGGGCTTCTCCCTGGGAGGAAATGTCCATTTCATTCCCACTCTGGGAAACCACCCATCTCCCATGGGTGCTTCACATTGCTTTGCTGCTTTTCCAGAGTGACTCAGCCAGGCACTAGAATCTGTCACCTATTTCCTAGGCCCTGCATGTTTTGACCAGTGGCCTTTATATACTTTCTGTGATAAAATAGTGCCAGTTTGTTATGGGTTCTACTGACATGAGTAGGCTCACCTAGAAACAAATGGTGCCAAAAACTACTAAATATTGCACCAGATATTGTATAAGTTGATGGATTCCTAGTCACTCCTAGGAATGTCACTCCTTCTCCCAAAATCTGCTTACAGGTTATTGTTTGGACAAAGCAAGATCTTTAGTAATCTGTGAGCAAGAATCTACACCAACTATGTGATCCTATACACACATACTTGGGAGTAAGCCCCATTACATTCAGCAACACTTTTAATAATTTAGTTTAATCTAATTTAAAACATTTATATGCCTCCTATCTTGCCAGTGGCATCCCTAGTCAGCTAGCAGTCACAAAACTTTCTTCCAGGTGTATGAGTATAGGATTGCGTTGTATGAGTACAGTTTTTTCACTGGCTGGAGTTGCACAAGAATCACAGTCTGACCATATCAAAATAGACCATTGTTCTGAATCTCACCTATATTCCAGCAATTTCATTTTAGACTATTTGTATTGTTACTTGCACTGTCCTTGCAAACATTTTCAATTGCATTCTGAAAAGGTGGGTGTCCTTCATTAGTACTCAGAGGCATTTTTTCATTTCTTCCCAAAGATTCCATTTAAAGTTACAGAAGAGCAGCAGTCAGCTAATTTTTCTATTGAACAGCATCAATAGAAGTAAAATGCAGAAGAGAAGCATTAGCTCTGCCACTCTGGAACCAAGGGCCCCATTTTACAGTGATTAGAAACATCAATTATGCTTTAGTTACAAATCTTTTAAATAAAATAGCATTTTTACTTTGGCTTCACCAACTTATGTTAACATATGTAAACAGAACTCAGATACAGTTGAATCATCAAAACTGTGTGAGAAACATTAGTGCCTGCTAATTCCTGATGAAAGAGTAGAATTTAAATCTTTCATTCGAAATGCACTGTTTAAAAGTAGGGTTGGTAAAAAAGAAAAAAAGATTCTGATGGCAAATGTAAGTGATGCTGTGAATATTTCTCTCCATTATGTAAAATGGCAAGCAATTTAAACACTACCATATTACCTGTTAGCAAGGTGCATTATAATCAACTTTGATACTCAAGCTGAACTACAATCTCCCCCTCCCCCTGCTTGAGGAATGAAATAAATACAAGTCTCTCCTGTGGCTGCTCTTCAACAGACTAAGGTGACAAAACACCCCCAGCAAATGATTTACTCCAGGGATATTTACACTCGAAGATACTTTCCAGTGGCTCCCTTGTCTGGTTGAAGACCAGGCATGACTACAGTCTTTGCAGCCACTGAGCCTGCGGAAGAAGTCATAACTGGCAAGACCCAGGCCAAGAACTGGTTAGATTTCTCTTTGTGGAAAATTAAGAAAATCAAGGTTGCTAAATTAGAAAATAGGAAATACTAAACGTGTTCCAAATGAATAACCCTGTGAGTGGTGAACCATTTTTCCAGAGCCGCTCTAATAATTGTAGCAAGATGGTACTGGAGTTAGCAAAGCTTGAGCAAGAGCATAATCTGCTTCGAAATGAAGCAGGGCTGTCTTGAATAGGGAAGAAACACACCTCAGATAACTGTTTTTGCTAATTATTCATCCTCCTTTCTTATGCTATCAGTCTGAGGATGTTGATCTACTTTTGGTAAGTGAGCATGGTGCTTGTTGTAGTCATGTACAAATTCATTTGCCTTACTCCTGCTTAGTTAGCAGCTGAAATACGGAAATCTTCCACTGTGAAATGTTTTCTAAAATAAAAATACATGCCGTACAACTTTCTATCACATCCTATATTGAAGGATTGGAAGATGTTAAGTGCATTTCTGAACCTTCTCTTGTTAATAAGCTGTCTAGAAAAAAATATTGGAGGTTCTTAGTATCATTCCTACTTATTTTATCTTGCAAATTTCCCCCAACTCTCTGATATGTATACGAGATATTCTTTACCAACCACTACCTTTTACATGTTAGTCTTCAACATGAAGGATATCTAAAAAATGTTTTTACACACTCATTCGTGTGTGTGCATGCACGCACATGCACACTCACACACGCGCGCGCGTGCATGCACCCTCCAGTAACTTTCAGCATTCTTGAGAATGAAGTGACCACATCACCATCTACTGGTGAAAATTGAACATGCAGCTTCACATGTTCATCCCATGGCTTGCTTATTTTACACACAAATACTCTAATTGTCTAAGAAGATTGATATGTTTACGCATGTTCCTCTTCACATGTAACTTCTTGGATCAGGAACTGTGGGCACAAGTTAGCTGCATATCTGTGTAGAGATGCTATCTATTGGCACTGCATTGCTTTCAATAGGGGTGTGCCTTAAACATTCATCATCTTCCATATTCTGGGAGAACTAATCACATGTAGATACTTTTTAAAGTGTGGCTAAAGCTGAGCGGGGCTGAAGGACTATTATCATCATGTTGGTAGTCATTGTGGTCAAATCAAAACCAAAAATATACAAGTTAAATATTGCTAGTTATCCTCATAGCCTCCTTGCTACTGATGGGTGTGTGTGTGGAGGGGGGGGGCGGAATCTTATATGTTACTACTTTGGTTACCTAGGAGATTCTGATGTAATGGGTTACTATGGTGACAACTGGTCTCTTCAAAGATTGTAAATCATGGGATTGGCAGAGTTCGTAAAAGCAACATGATAAATGATTAATTTTTGGAAATCTGTATACAGTTATGTATCATATGAACCAACACCTAAATATAGTGCATTTCAACTGTTTTTTCTGCCTTGACATTAATATGTTTATTTTACTTACTTTAAAAGAATCAGAGGATAAATAACTCTCAGTCTGCTCAGTCATTGGCTACCCCAGTGGTTTCCGTGGCAACTCCGACTTTGCCAGGGCAAGGGATGGGAGGATACCCATCAGCCATTTCAACAACATATGGTACCGGTAAGTCTCAGCATCAGATGTGCACAGTGTGGATTGCAGTGGGAGCAAAGCCAGATACTGAAACACACAACAGCTCAGTAGTACTGGAATATCTTGTTGTACACGACTTCTTTGAGTGCCATCCTGGCAGAAAATGCCGCTGATAAAGACTTGAAATGAATAAATGCATGCTGTATATGTAGCATCATAGGAGAAAGCTTATTTTTATTGTGCCTCATAGTAAGAAATTACCTCAAGTGGCTGAAGATCACTAACTCACTCTTGAGGACTAAGGAGCCACCTGTATTTTCAGAATTGGCTCTGCAGGGTGCTTACTTTGGTAAACGATCCTGATTGATTGGTGCTTCCCACCTTCATGCTACGTGGAATGTTTCTGAGAAGTTGGCATCTTTACCAATGTGATGTGCTGTGCACGAAAGCTGCAGGTGCCACACAGGACCCGCTTTCACCTTTTTTAAGCAGGGTCCATGTGTTGCACAAACCTGCACCAACCGAGGCCATGGGCGCTCTGAGCCCCACGGCCCAGGAGACCAGTGTCAGGAGTCCCAGGAAACTGGGCACCACCTGCCCTCCCAATTGCTTTGTAATGGAGGGATGAGTGGAAGTTGATTAGCAATTTGTTTGTCCTTGGGGACAAAAAGGGCTGGCTCCTGATAGGAAGAAAGCTTTCTGCATGTGTTGGGGGAAACCAGCAATGAGCTTTTGTGTGAAAGACTGTGAGCTCCGTTCTGCATCTGACAACAACCTCTTTGTCGGAGCCACCTGCTTGGAGCCTCCCTGTGCCTGCTGGCTCCTGAGCCACCCTTTTGTACCCCGTTCCAGCTGGTGACATGAAGGCTGTAATAAAGAGCTAAGGGTAGATTGCAGAAGCATGGAGTCCGCCCACTGGGCCACAGTGGACCACAGCAAGTCCCATACACTTGCAAAGTAAGATACTTCAGAGTTAACTGGTCGTGATCACCAGTTACAAAAGGCATTTGCTTCTGGTGGTGACAAATGTTTTCTAAGAACATCATGGAGTCTCACACATTGAATGGCCTCCAGGAACCAGTGAATCTTACTCATCTAGCATTTGTCTTGGGGAATGGAAATAGGAATTCACTTTAAGAGCACAAGAATAACGATGCAGTGGTTTATCAGCTGGTGCATAGGAAAGTAAATGCTTACATCTGCAGCCGTTAACAGGTTTGTCCATGATTTTTAAGCCAGCGTATTTTTGTTCTTACATCCAGAATATTCACTAAGTAGTGCGGATTTGTCGTCACTCTCTGGGTTTAACACAGCCAGCGCTCTCCACCTGGGCTCAGTAACTGGCTGGCAGCAACAACATCTACATAACATGCCACCATCTGCCCTCAGTCAGCTGGGGTAAGTAATCAGAACAGCGAGTGCCGTGCACCTCTGATCCATGCGCAGCGATGATCTGAATGCACCGTTCTCCCCAGCGGTCTCCTCTCTGAGCTGACCTCACAGCCCATTTCCCTTGGTGATGGGTTAGCTGTCACCCAGCCTCTTCCAGGAGTCGCCAGACAATCAGTGCCATCTCCCCCATCTGGGTGCCTGTTCTTGAACTGCAGCATGCAGAGGAGGCAGGATCTGCTCTGGTCCTAAGTTAGGGCTGGCACCCTCCAGTTCTGTGGGCCATGAACTAGTGTCAAGGGTCCTATGCTCTTAAAGGAAGGTTTAACATGTACCAAATGCCCGGCCTACAATAGTCAGTGACACAGATGGGCATCCATATATATGGCTAGAATGCAGTTCAGCGTGTCTGTCATTTCATCACACAGGGCTCTGAGGTCTGGGTGGGGCTGTAGTTCAGTGTATGCAGGTGAGGGAAGGGCTGTCTGCTGCTGCTCCCTGGGTGGTTTTGCAGTGAAATCATCCCAAACTGAGCTTGCACAGGGAGGGGAGCTGCAGTGTCTTCTTGCCCAAGACCAGCCGCCAGGTTCATAAGGACTGTTCAGTTTTGCTTCTACTGTCTGCCCCAGCTCTCTGGAGAGTGGCTTCCTCCTTCCCTTCTCCACTCGGCTACCAGTAGTAAGGACATCCCACCCCCAGAGCTGGTGAGGAGAGAAAGCTGCCCCCTATATTGTCCACCCCTATAGACATACCTTACCCTTATGCAGGCATTTGTCTGCTTGCGTATAGAGCTAAAGTATGCAGGTGGAGATGGACACATATACAAACCCTGCCTTTGGTATCCATGCTGGCCTCGCTTTCAGTTTGGCCTTCACTTGCTCAGTGCAAAGGTCTGCAGGGAAGTCTCTGTTAGTTTGAACATGTCTGCAGGAACTTCACACTCAGCCTTCAAAGGCCTGATGGAAAGCCAGGCACTCGGGGTTGCTAGGGGTTGAGCTTACAGGTGTGCCAATGTCTCCTTACACACCTTAGTCTCACAAGTGGCAACACAGAGTTTGTATGTAAGAGACATGGTTGAGACTAGGATTCCTTATAATGCACACAGCTTCTGGTTTTTATGGTGAGCCACTGTGCTGCAGTGGTTAAGAATGCTGGACTGGGACTCAGGAGATCTGAGCCGTAGTCCCCACTCAGCCATGGAGCTCACTGGGTGACTTTGAACCAGTCAGATTCTCAGTCCAGCCTACCTTACAGGGTGGTGGTTGTAAGGATAAGACTGAGAGAAGGAGGAGAATTATGTGAACTGCCTTGACTTCCTTGAAAGGAAAAAAGGCAGGATACAAATATAATAAATTAAAAAACAACATGATGGATATTATTGGGAAAGGGAGCATAGCTCAGTGCTAGAGCACCAGTTTTGCATATAAACAATCCAGCCCCTGGCATCTCCATTTTGTAAAGCTTCATCAAGTAGCAGGTGACCTGGACCAGGGAATCCACATATGCTGGCAAATGCAAAATAGCCCCCCCCCCCGATTTTGTCCTTCATCAGGAAACTCCTGTACCACATAGGTGCTGTTCATAGATCGAGGTGAGCAGCAGGGAACTTTGCTTGAGAGCCTGCTAGTTAGAGTAGATACTAGTGTGCTTTCATGCCACGTGGTTTGATCTGATGTATGGCAGCTAGCTTTTTGGGAGGAGGGGGTAGTTTGACGTTCCCAAAATTGATACTCTGATTCCAGCTTGTCTAATAGTAATACAGATCATGAAATCAGGTGAGACAGTTCAAGTACAACCTATTTCTTCCCCAGTCTGTTAACATATGAGTGCAGACTTCTGTGCAGAAGTCTCCAGACTTGGGGGTTGGAGAGAATTCCATACATGGAATGAGGCATGGCAGCTAACAGCTGCTTACAGCCACTGAGGTAAAATGCTGGAGGAGGAGGAGGGAATGATGCTCGGGCTCAGAGGGAATCATTGCATGCCCTCAACCCCAGCGTCTTCCCCACCCCAGCCCAGCATGCCCCTTTTTTCTCTTTCTGAGGCCCAGTTGCAGCCGTGACACATTTCTTTTCCCAGCAGCTGTGAGGAGTAGGGATGGGAACTCAACCTTCATATTCCCAGCTCCAAGATCCCAGGAAGTGGTACTCCAAATAATCCAGACAATGTTGGCAGGGCTTAGGATTGTGCCCTTAGACAAGGAAGAATTTGAACTCTGTCCTTTCGGTACTTTCCACCAGCGTTTTAATACCATTGAAACATTAGCATTTGACTGCAGCAGTTTGTAATATATGTTCAATCATTCACTGTTACCAAGTGATGTAACGGTTTGACCCATTAGTAACACTTATATTTGTCTGACTCTCATGATTCAGAAGGGCCATGCACATTTCCTGTGTTTGGAAATCCTTCATAGAAAGTTAACCAAAACTACATGTTTAGAAGTTTGCCAACAAGTAAAATTAGTTTTCATTTCCCAGTTAAAGACCTTGCATTCCTGCCCTCTAGTGGCAATCATGGGAGAGTTCTTTATCAGGAGCAAAATCTGGAGCCCTTCATATTTTTGCCAATGTTCATATTTTTGAAACTTTTTACAAAGAAATAAATTCACACAAACACCAACTGAAATAAATAAACAAATAAATCTGACTGAAAGGTTCCTTTTTCCTGCAATCTGAACCGTCATGTACCCTAACGAATGAGGTAGGTTCAGCATCATTCCAAAGACTGTGAACATGAGTGCTTTAAAAAAGGGAGGCGGCACTTAGGCCATAGACTGAACATGTGCTCTGCTTAGCAGCGGTGTAGCCTAACTGTGGGCACGATCCTGCATGTGCTTGGACAGAAATAAATCCCGTCGCTCCAGAAATCCCCTGGCAACTAGGTTGGCCTTGCTGAGCTGCAGGACCTGTTTCTGTGCAAACATGTATAGGATTGCACCCTAAATATGTTTTTATTTAAATAAAAAATTTCAACTTAAAAAAAAATTTCAACCTAAATTAAAAAAGGTGCCATTCATTCAATTGTACCTAAACTGCTTGACCTGTAATTGTGCCATTACTGCTGGAGCTCTAGTAAACTTTTATTCTACCCTGTCTGAATCTTTGTAAAACCCTTGTGCCTCAGTTTTATTTTTTTTATTTCTTACCCATCCTTACTGCTGAATACTCAAAGCTCTCTGGCAGTTTGAAAAAAATTAAACCCCTAAAATACCTGGTAAAGCATGAAACAAAACCTTTTAAATTTTGCAGTAAACTAAAACCAGAGTAAAAACTAGAAAGCCGGTGTGGTGTCACAGTGAGAATGTCAGACTGAAATGCAGGAGCACTGGATTCTAGGCCCAGCTCAGCCAGGGGGCTCACTAAGCAACCTTGGACCAGTCACTGACTGTCAACCTAATGTACCTCCCAGGATTGTTGTGGCAATAAAAAGAAGAGTAGGATGAGAATTATCTAATCTGTCTTGAGTTCCTTGTAAGAGTTAAAATGACAGGATAGTAATAAATACATACAAGCAGCAGTTTTTTTTTAAAAGTATAGTAATGGTTATTTTTAATGGAGAAATATATCCCCAACAGTATTAAAATAAGCTAGGGTACATTCGATGCAGGTTCAGACAGAAAAATTCCTACAACTCCCAGCAGGCTGGGGCATGCTGCAAGTTGTACAGCCATTTTTCTTTCTGAATTTGCATAGGATTGCTACCCTAATTGTTTTCAGTACCATATCATAAGATACAATAAACTATTTTATTAAGGAGGAAGGTACTAATTAAATGCTAAACCCACAAGCCTTCATAGGTCTGCCCCACACCATCATCAGTTGCAAATTCAGTCGTAGAATAACTGGCATAATTTTACCTGGAAAAATACATTCTGGGTTATTCTTATTGAAATCATAACTATTCATTATTCTAACTTGGACAGAAATTAGCACTCTAATTGCAACCTTCAGGAAATATTTCACTCACTCCCTGAAATTAAATAGCAGTTTGTCAGGCCACAAGGAAACTCAGTAAAACAGAGTAAGTCTTTTAGCTCTGCAGCTTCTCCTCTTTGGTATGCAGACTGGCAGAGCATGATCAATAAAAGATTGAGTGTCAGGCCTTGACTTGGCCCCATGTTGGCACTAATATTGTAAGAATGTATTGGATGCCTCCAGCAGAAGAGGAATGTAACAGAGGCCAAATGGTACTCCTTCCTTTGCATCACTCCCAGCCATGAGCAAATGTCCTTCAGGGATGCAGCATCTGAAATAAACAGGTCTTACCAGGGCTAAGGGAAGGGCAACCAGGAACTTTGCCCAAGTCAACTTGGGTAACAGCACTTATCCAGCTTGGGGCCCTTTGCACTCACTCTTGGTTAAAGCAGCTTTCTCCACCTCAGTGTCCTCCAGATGTTTTGGTTTAGAAGTGACAGTGTTCCTGACAGTATAGGCTGAGGCTGATGGGAGCTCAAGTCCCAAACAGCTAGAGACCAGCTGACTGGGAAAGGTTACAGAGAAAAGATCTGCCCATGATAAACTACATGATAAGACACGTGTTATTTTATTGTCTAGGGTAGTGCAAAAACAAATCCTCAGAGCAACATGAATGTGTAGCTGCAAGTTTAGCCTTACTAGCCTATCATGCATAAAGTTTATCAGCTTCAGATATTTTCAAGAATGCGTCTCAGAGGAGATCCAATACTTCCTTTTACTTCTCACACAATTGCAACTGTAGGAGCAATATGTTCTTCCCATAGCTGTCCCAATTTTGACAAAATCTGCTGAATGCAGGGCAGATGAAAGCAATTACTGATACAGCGTTTAGTTCTCTCTTTGTTGTCTAACAATAGCCATTCATTGTTAAACATTGTGACAATTGCTGATAAAAGCATCACCACATCATTCCAAGTACAAATGTGTGCACGGGAGATAAAGCATTATTTTGCATGCTAGCAAAGGTTTGACAGATACTGGCTACAATCCTTCACTCTTGGCTCAGGGGTAAGTCCCACTGAGCCTGCAGAGGATGGAAGTTGTACCTTGACTGATTGACAGACTATTTATAGATATGCAAGCTCCAGTGCTCATATGGAGCTCCCTTGCATTCCCATTCTTTTAAGTGGAGCAAAAACTTCTTGTGCAAACAATTACAGTAATGCCAGCATGTATAAAAGACATTACTCACAAATTGAGTTGTCTATGTAAAATAGTCCCTTCTCTTCTCTGTTCCTGTTGCTCCAAAACGCTGCTCCCTACTATATGTTTTAGAATAAGTTAATGATAGAAAATCCTAGCATTACCCTAAATATTTAGGATGGTTGTGTTTATCTGTAATGAACTTGTAAAGTCACCCCAATGCTAGTGTAATATGCTAGCTTTTAGGCTCTTTGGTAAAATAGTCAGGTTCGGTACATGTCTCCCTGCTCCTCCCTCCCCTTTCTTCCATGAAACTACCCTGATGCCTTAAATCATAGCTTCCTGTGGCCAGAAAGCTGTGGTTTAAACAATCTAATATTGGTTTCCTGTCTTAATTTGTTGGGAACAATTAAACTAGTTTCCTTGATAGGACATCATGAGAAAATCTCGGTTAAGAAACCAAGATGTCTTTGCTAAAGCAAAGTTTGCAAGGAGCAGAAGGAAATACTTTGACACATGCTTTGTTCGTCATTTAATAAGCCATGGTTTCTATGACCAAGATCATGGCATCTGAACCAGGCTACTATGAGTTGGTTCACCAAGCTTCTATCAGACTTAAGTAGATTAAGCTGCAAATTCAATTTGATGAATTATTCCAGAGCTGAGTTTCACTAAGACTTCATCAGTATAGAAGGCCAGTGGATTGTCCCTAAGAGTGCCACTTTGACATCCATGTGGCATTGGTGAATGCACTATAAGCAAACCAAAAACATCTGTTGCCAGTAGTGGGTGCCTTCATACAAAGCATACCTCCAAGTGAGGGGGGCGCCCCTCTCTTTTCTTGTTATTATTATGATTTGTTCTACACCTATAAAATAAGTGCCCTAGGCCTCCTACAAAGAAAATAGCATTAGTTTATCCTTTCATTTCCCCTTCAGCTGCCTTGTTTCTTGTTATGCCCTACACGCATGAAGAAAATAATTTTCCAATGAAATGCTTAGCTTCCTTATCTTTATCTACTGTAGAGTCCCCCCATGCATCAGGGAGTGGGAGAGGTGGCCTTTTTAACTTCCAAGGTGTGTGCTTGATGTAAATCAGTTATTAAAATTCAGCTATTAAGCATTAGTTATATTTGAGTGAAGTCATCCATGTAGCCTTAAGTATGATGAAGGTGATTTGAACATGTACTCTTTGCCCCAACAGGAAATGAGTGTGTGTTCAAGCCACTGGCATTATGCTGCAGAATCTCGTTTCTAAAGTCATTCCAGTGAACATTCGTAAGATTCAGTGAACATGGGCAGAATGGAATGGGACCATGCCCACTGGTCCCTGGGCACACTTTCTTGGCAGCTGTGCATTCGGTGCTAGTGGTAGAGGCCTCTGTGCACATGTAGCGTTATCTCCGTAGGGTTCTTCCATGCTGTTGGGCCAATCTGACCTGATGCAGCAGGGTCCCCAGTCATGTGTAGAATTCCACTAACATTTGAGTCAACACAGAGGACAGGCTAGGGACAGGTGAAGTACAGGTCATGTGCACAGGCTTGTGTTCCTTATACACAGTTGTGCAACTTCTTCTGGTATGATGCCAGAACAAGGTTCATTACACCACTAGGTCCAAGTCATCTTAAAACCTTCTAAAATTATATTTCAGAAGGGGCAATGCAGGTGAATACAGAACAGTAGAATTGGATCTAGAGTTGTGCTGGCACTGGAGGAAGGGAAAGAGGTGTGGTGTTTTCCATCCCTATTCCCCCCTGCAGCAGGACCGAGCATTGCTGCACATGGGATGAGGGCCTACACCCCATCAGAGCCTTCAAACAAGAGCCCCTTGGACTTGCTCCTCCTCTTCCCCATCACAACCTGTGTGTTCACTGGCCTTTCACTCTGGCCCAGACAACTGTTTTGATGAGAAAGAGGAGCAGTAGATGCCACTATCTACTCACTCACTGCATCTCCGTCTGCCAAACTTGCATATGTTAGCAATGATCTGCAAAATAATGAGGAACCATAGTAGCTAGCACAAGGGCTGTGAAGCTGTCTTGCCCCGTCTGAAATTGGCAATGTCCTGAAGTCACCGGCACTGCTTCCCATGCTGTTCCGGAGATTGCGGGCCCCATGTTTCTCTGAAACAGCGTGGGAGATAGTACTAGGCTATGCAGGGAGAGGGAAATCATCTTGTTCCTCTAGCAGAAAACTTCACCTATCCCAGAATAACTCTGCTAAAGTTTCGTTGCCTTTACAAGTACAGGAAGGCTTTCCATTCAAGGAAAATCAAATCCAGAGCTAACCCACAGATATTAAAGTTAAGGATTTTTTTCTGTGAAAAAGAATAATATGTAGACCTACTCCCTCACACCCAAAAAAGAGAAATATGTAGACTTCCTTCCATATAAGGATATGTAGATTTCCTTATATCTTCAGCCATTTTTCACCATACGGAATGTACTCCCTCTCTCCAATGCTATAGTGTACATTTCCTGTATTTTGAGTGCTGTTTCGAAGTAGAAGACCTGTTAAGCCCAGAAAACCTTTTACTTTATGCATTATGGGTGTACTACTGAAACCACCATCCCAGTAATGGGGGAAATGTTTTGAAAATGTTAAATCACCCATGCACCTCATCCTGCAGTGCAGCACTGTGGAGGAAGTATTCATGTCCTGCTTTTAACTCATCCTGGGTTAGCATTACATAGAAAAAGGATAAACAGTTGTTAGATTAAACTTTGACTTATTGAAAGACACCAAGATCAAGCCATGCTGTATCATCCTAGTTTGTTTCTATGGACAGTAAACTACCCAGAGGTTTCAGTGGTGATATAACAAGAAACTGGTTGATTCAAGTCAGGAAGCAGATTCTTTTAATCGTTCTTCACAGCAGGAGGAAGAATGTACAAGATCTAAGATTCGCTGTTCCTCTTTCACATAACCTTTCCTGAGTATAGACTTGAATCTGGATTTCCAACACCCTAACTAAGATGGAGCATTTGTGCAGCAGTAATAGCAGCACCAGTACTATTTTTATACCACCTAAGAAAACTAGCAAGGCAGTGTACAAATCAGGTATAATGTCATAAAAGCATTAAAAGCAAAGTTTAAAGCTGAGGAACAATACCAATAGAGAGTATGGAGGGATGATTCTTACACATGTGTCAACATTTTGGTTATTTAGTTACGGGCAGGGAATTTCCTGAATTTTCTTGACCACCCTTATTTCCCACCCTCAGGCCAAACCCTCTTTCCAGAAGGGGCATGAGTGTTGCAGTTCTAGAATGTATGCAGGCATTTGCAAAATTAGACAGCCTGCAAAAATCAAACATTTGCTGTGTTTTAAAATGTATCATGAACTAGCTGTGGAGTGTCTGAGCATATTGGGGCAGGGGAAGTATAACTGAACTAAACTACCGAGTAGCAAGATTTTCAGAAACACTCATGTCTGCACACACACATTCCACCATCAGTTGTGCAAGAGGATGTGGCCTGAAAAATGCAAGATTTGGCTGCCATTATATGATGCAGTACAATTGGAGAAGAGCTTCCGCTCGTCTTCAGTCCTTGGGCATGACACAGGACCAATCCCAAGGACAGTCTTAGGGCATCTGCCTGTTCAGGGAGGGCCACATGTGTAGAGAAGATTCCACGTGTTCTTGATGTGCACCGGGATCCATTTGAATTGCTTAGCTAATGTTTTGTGTGCATGTGCGTTTCTGGGGGCTCTGCCTCCTCAGTCGGTAACTGGGTTTCCTTTCCTCCTACAGAGCTTGCACTAGCACTCACTTATCCCAGAATACCAATCTCTCCCTGCCTTCTACTCAAAGCCTCAACATCAAGTCAGAACCTGTTTCTCCTCCTAGAGACCGTACCACCACACCCTCGAGATACCCACAGCACACGCGCCACGAGGCAGGAAGATCCCCTGTTGACAGCTTGAGCAGCTGTAGTAGTTCGTATGACGGAAGCGACAGAGAGGATCACCGGAACGAATTCCACTCGCCCATTGGACTCACCAGACCTTCGCCGGACGAAAGGGAAAGTCCCTCCGTGAAGCGCATGCGGCTCTCCGAAGGATGGGCGACATGATGGCATTGCTAGCGATTAGGGGTTTTTTTCCTTGCAGTGTGTGTGTGTGCTATACCTTAATGGGGAATAGGGAGGGAGGGGGTCGATATGCATTATATGTGCTGTGTGTGGGGGAAAAAAAGTCAGGTACTCTGTTTTGTAAAAGTACTTTTAAATTGCCTCAGTGATATCATATTAAAGATAAACAGCAATGCTGAGATAAGCTTCGCACTTCAGTTGTACAACAGAACACTTGTACAAAATAGGTTTTAAGGTTAACTTCTTTTCACTGTTGTGCTCCCTTGCAAAATGTATGTTACAATAGATAGTGTCATGTTGCAGGTTCAACGTTATTTACATGTAAATAGACAAAAAAAAAGGAAAAAAAAGAAAAGAAAGGAAACTTTTGCCCAATATGGCAGATCTTTACTGAGAGAGGAAGTGGCTGTTATGCAACATATAGAAAATGTACAGATGTTTTGGGAGACCCAGAAATTGGGTGACCAAGGAAGGGAAAAAAGTTAGAAGAATATAGGTCACCTAATTTATCTGAAATGCTCACAAATGTGTTGGCATATCATTTGAGTATGGCACTCAGTTAAACGGATCAAAAGCATTTACAAGAGGACCATACTTGTAAAAAATTTTTTAAGTTTGAGGGCTAACCTATTTAATTTTTAAAATTCTGGGTCTGCATCACTTATTAAATAAAAATAGACAAATATGTAAATTACATTTTCCTTATTTTCATATTAAAAAGTAAGACAGAGTTTGCAAAGCATTGTGGCTTTTTGTAGTCTACTTAAGCCAAAATGTGGGTTTTTTCCCCTTCATAGCTTCGCCGATATTTTAAACAGCCCTGAAAGAAACAAAAGGGGACTTTTTTGTATAGAAAGCACTACCCTAAGCCATGAAGAACTCCATGCTTTGCTAACCAAGATAACTGTTTTCTCTTTGCAGAAGTTTTGTTTTTGAAATGTGTATTTCTAATTATATAAAATATTAAGAATCTTTTAAAAAATCTGTGAAATTAACATGCTTGTGTATAGCTTTCTAATATATATAATAATTATGGTAATAGCAGAAGTTTTTGTTATCTTAATAGTGGGGGAATTATATTTGTGCAGTTGCACATTTAAGTAACTATTTTTTCTTTTTGTTTTTTCTTCTAATCTGCATACATTTTACAGAATCAGTCAGCTGTTGAAGGCTAATCTGCAAAAGATTAGAAATTTCCCTTCCTATAGCAGCCTATATAATTCTGATTCATCTGCAATCAATTTTGTGAACCATTGTATATACTGATTAGCTCCATCGTACTGGTCTACGCACCTGACCCTATTTAAGGCCCTCTTCTTACCATATTTATGTCTTGCGTATCTTGTGGCTTTTTGCCGTTTACATCACAGCATGGCTCCGCTTTGTCCTCTTTCCATAAAGCCATCAAAACTGACATCCTTTTCTGTGACTTGCTCTGAAAGGCAACTTGGAGACATCCCGCATCCCCAAAAGTAGTGGGGGGGGAGGGGGGGGCAAAAAGCATCCCCAAAAGCAGGGGGCCTACCTTCAAAACAAAGGTTAAAGTTTTTCTTTTGTTTAAATCCAGTAAGGGGTGATCCCAAAATTAAAGCTCTTTTTCCTCCATGGAAATAGTAAGCTATCTCAGAAATCCAGGTGGGTTAGTATTCAAATGGAGAATGTGTCTGCTAGGGGCAGCAAAATAATGAGACACAGGAGTACCAGCCCAGTCCAAGTTCTAAAGCTCAGGGTGACTGTAAATGTTGGGTTGCTGGTGGTGTCTGAAGGCTGCTTCATGCAAGCATAGATCTCACTTGCAGCACAGTCCTCTACGTGTCTACTCAGAAGTAAGCCTCACTGAATTCAGTAGGATTTACTCCCAAGTAATTGGAATGTAGGAAAGATATCCCCTGAAAAGCATTGTGTCTGAATTAACATTTGATGTTGCAGTCACAGAATGATGAGCAATCATGTCCGACAGCCCCTCACAGGGAGTCGCAGGAGCTGAATTGCAGTGTTGCATTCAGGCACCATGATATTCCTAGACTGCCTCTGTAGCAACCAGTCCTTGTGTTAGTTTGCACAGGCATCACCAACATGGATCTCAGGGCTTCACAATTCTCTTGTAAAATGATAACAATGCTAACCTTCAGTGGTTTGCAGGTCGCTATGGCTATCATTAAATGATGTCCATTCTATATTATTTCCAAACTCAGATTTTCCCACTAGGGAAAAAGCAATTTGGGGAGGTCACTTTGAGCAGAATAGTGAGGACTCAGTTTAAGCGGCTCCCAACACACCATCCCTCCACTCCAGTGACAATCTCTTGAAGCTGCCTTTTTTCTTTTTAATAGCAAAACATCAGAAGGAAATTACATCTGCATATAGTATCTGTTTTGGCTGTTGTACTCCCCTCCCCCCCCCACACACACACACATGGAACATCAAAGGCAAAAGATTACTTAATTGTCTTTCCTTTTTAAAAAAGAAACTTGGACTGAAGATTGTTGGGAGAATTTTTTCCCTACTTATGGGCTGGGGAGGATGCATGTGTCTGTAGAAACATCTGTGTCTTTTTAATACTGAGGGAAAGGTGCACTGCACATGGCTCAGATCTCTCTCATCTTTATAATTACATGTTTGAAACTTGAAACCAAGCATTCCTTGCAGGTCATAGGTCTCCATCCTGAGGGACTGGGTCTTAAAGTAAGCTCCATTTAGGAAGGTCGGGGTGGGGTCCCAGGAATATTTGAGTAATTTCTGATAGTTTGGTGGCATAAGGCAGCTGGCGATGCTGCTGTTCTCAAAATCATTCTGGCTTCTGTGCAGGTGCATTGCTTAATAGAAAGAAAAGATGAAAGATAGAAGCTACTGCCCACTACTGATTCGTCAGTAATACCCTTCCAGGGTCATAAGCAAGACTTATTCTATGAAGTTTCTACAGTACATCCATCTGACAGTGAACACACAACGTGTAGTGGTATGTTCAGCAGAAGGATATGAACTTTAGAAACTGTGTTTGGCTGATGACACATGCAAAAAACAGTTTTGTTGACACTGAACAACCACCATGAATAAATGAAGAATATAGGTGAAGCTTGCCATGTCTCTCATATTATTGGTATTAGTCTGTGATACCTGCTTGAAAATGTACATTTACAGCTGTGTATCTGCCTTCTTTCTCAGCCATAGCTTCAAAATGTCTGAGGTCGCATTGGCTCAGCAGTTGCTTTGTCACATCCTAAGTATTTATTGGCTGGCACAGAAAATCTTAGGAGCACGCTGAGACCAGATCATGCTCACACATATTCCAGATGCAGAAAATGTCTTAGATAAGGCCTTCATCATACAGGTGACTTACAAAAGATACGCATGCATTAAACAAAAGTGAGAATGGGGCCAGTCATTGATTTTTGAAGCATCCATTGGGTTTCCAAATTATTTCCCTCACTTTGACATACACATAATACCCACATTCTCCATTTGAGAACTTTCAACTTTGATGTGTCTTAAATATGCAAATATGTCACAACTGTACCTTGTTGGTTTTTAAAGAAAACAAGAGAAACAGTATTTGGCTTGTCAGTATTGTTAAAAGTAATTTGTCAATGGGGCTGGTGCGATCAGTTTTCTGACTCTGAAGAATAGCCATATGAATAGTTTACCTTACAGTTGCCTGAACTACACAAGAAAATAAGAACACTTGAGCTTCTGAAAGGGAGTGGAGGTCTCATGGTATTTACCACATTGTACCCATGCGCCAGTAAGGTACATTGGAAACAAGCTCACACACCCAGGCAAGGCAATCGGTTGCAATTACTACCATGGTTTTTATACAGCCACAGAACTGAATTGTGACTATGGACACCCAGTTTGATCCTCTTTCAGCTTCTGAGCTAAACTAAAGTACAGGATCAAGAAAGTGAAGGTTAACTCATAATTGTAAATGAAGTGAATAATTAAAGAAGCACAACTTTTAATTGTGATGTTGCTTTCTAGAAACCTTAGCTGTCAATCTTTAGCTGTTCCTTATCTGTACCTTAACCATCGATTGCATTTGCAAAGCTATTTTTTGGGCTTATTGTGTGATTCCTTTATATTTAGGCAGTTTGGGGCAGTGCCCCAAAAGAGTATTAAGATTTTCTTCAACCCAGGCAGTATAAAGTGATAGGCAAGATGAATTACTTTAAGAGGTGTCTCCTTGTGGTTGCTAAGCTGATCCTTATTTGGAAAGGGCTTGATGATGAAGTTATTAAGACTAATTGCTGGTGACAATGATATGATATACAGCAGCCTTTCCCCTTGTTTCCTTCCAAGTGTGCTGCACTACAGTGCCCATCATTCCCAGCCAGCAGATCATGCTGGTTATGGATAATGAATGTTGTAGTCCAACATGTCTGAAGGAAGCCTGGTTGGGAAGGACTAATATACACAACTGCACAAATTTGTATATTGTATGCATTGATGCCTTTCCCGGTGAAGCTATTTTTAGGCATTTCAGTGTTTTTTCAAAGTTACTTTTGTAACCAAATGGTTTCTATTTTCCCCAGAAGTGGAATTTGAAATTTTTTAAATGATTAATATAAAGATATCTGCTCAGAACGTGTGTTTTTTCAGGCAAAGCTAAAAGCAAGAATAAAACAACGGCTATGCTGTTTTCAAGAATGTCAGGAACACCTTCTTATTGTTTGTGTTTGTCTTAGCTATACAGCCACCCTTCCTAGTAGACACAACAATGTGGTTTTGTTTTCTTTCTCTTCTCCTTCCCCAAAAGGCAAATGCTTTGTCTTTGCTTCCAAAAAGCTACTTGAAACCTCAATAAAGGCTGTTGTCTAAACACAGCACGCTTCATCTACTCCCGTTTTATGCCATCTTCAGTGGCTACCTTCACTTCTATGGCCTCCATTTCCTGCCATTACAGGTCCCTTGAAGGACTGATGGAATGCTGGTGTCGGTCAAGAATGCTTCACTGTCAAGCTAATAACAGGCTTTTGTGAATATATTTTAACCAAAGATGTGGAGCAATCCAAGTGCTGAATTACATACTTTCCATGTCAAATTCGCCACCTGATTATGAGCATAACTAGGTCATTTGGTTTTGCCGCCCCTGTTAATACCTCAGACTGACCCGTACCTCGATTTGATTCAAAGTGGTCAGCGCAATGACAAAGGAAACTTGCTACGCCGTTGTCCTCCATGGAGTCACTAATGTAGGCCTGCATTTTGCCATTAAGCATTTAACTTGGATTGCTTCATCTGATTTGCTTCTATTACTATTTTTTCCCTGGGGGTTTTGATTTAATTAAATCAGCGATAATTAAGAAATCATCCTGTAAATGGGGGACGTACAAGCATTTTGCAAGAAATACTAAACATAGAGGCTCACAGCGGCATAAGCTGGACTTTGTCGCCACTAGATGACAAGACATTATAACTAAGTTAAAATCACATCTGTGTATCTCAAGGGACTTAATTCAGCTGTCTGTAGTGAACAACAACAAATAATAATAATAATAATAATAATAAAAACAAAATGGGAAAATTTCAAATGTTTCTCCTGCTGGACATAAGGTATAATTTGTATTTTGCAGCCGAATCAGTAAAGTTACTGGCTTTCTTAGTGATTCAGTGTCTCTGGTGCTTTTTTTAAAAGATTTGATAAAATAATTTAGGGATCACAGTAGAGTCAAGATTGTCATGCCAGATCTGCTCAGCCATGGAGCCAAGTGGGCGACTTGGGCCCAGTCACAGATTCTCAAGCCAACCTACTTCACAGGATTGTTGTTGTAGTGATAAGAATGAGAGCAGCAGGAGGAGAATGCTGCAAGCTGCTTTGAGTTCTCTGTAAGAAAAAGTTGGGGTGTAAATCAAATAAAGCAAGCTACAGGCAGTGTCTCCAGTTGTGGGCCCAGCAGTATTAATGACACTTAAAACACACAAACTAAATGTTCTCTGCAATAGAAAAGATACAGAAATATTGGCATTTTTGTAACTTTGGCCCAGTGATTGGTGTGTAAGCAGTATAACCAGAGTAAAGCAGAAAGAGTAGACCACCGGAGCCCAAAGCAACCCACTCTTAGATTTCAAAAGGGAAAGTGAGATGTAATTATAGCAGCATCCTCTTTCTAGTTATCATAAAAAAGGTGTCCATTGGCAGAATCTGGTTGCAGAGTGTGCCATCACTCAGCTTTTCAGGGATCTTCCGCCGTCCTTCTGCATCTCAACTGACTCCATTCAAATGGGTCCCACCTGATACTCTGTGCAGTAACCAGTGGCAATTCCTCTCTCTCTGTTCCCCCTGCTCTGAATTGTTGACTGGGACACTTTAGAAGAAGAGGGAAGCAGGCTGCAAAAGACATGGGGCATGTTGTATCCTTAAAATCGTAGAAGAGTAGAGTTGGAAGGGGCCATGAAGGCCATTGGGTCCAACCCCTGCTCTTACAGGACACCAGCTGACACAATTCCACTCAGATGACTGCTCCTTGCTTTCATACAGTCCTCCTTGTCCACAGAAACACCCTCTCAAGGTCAGGTTCCTGATCTTGGAGGGGCAGCTGGTGTCTACAAGGGAGGTCAGTGGGTCAGAGTGTGGATGCTCACTTCTGAGGTCTGATCTGCAAATACAAATATCTTATGGCTCTTCAGATATAGTCTAGGGGTCAAAAGGTCACTCACCAAAAGGTGCAACACTGTTTAAGAAAAGATTCACTAGCAATACCAAAAGGTTTGAGACAGGTTTTAAACAGATATTTGGTGTTTAAATGACCACAGACTGTGTTGCTACCTGCTGTCAAGTCATCTCTGACTTATGGCAACCCTATGAATGACTACCCTCCAAAATGCCTGTCCTTGACAGCCCTGCTCAGCAGTTGACCACAAACTCGGCACTGGGTGAAACTTTGTGGGAGAGCATGCCATAGCCAGCACAGCTCTGACAAAAGGACCCCTCTCATTAGTAGCCTCCTGATGCACCTCACTTCGGCCACCCAGAAAAGGGCATCTAAAGATGATGTCAAAGTCCAGAAAGAGGACTTTGGTAACTTCAGGCAACAGAACCTCCAGTTGTTAGGATGCTTTCAATCAAAACTGGAACTTTACATTGAGCTCCGAATAGAGTGGAAGCCATTATTGGGAAGCTTCAGTATCAAATCAAGTTTGCTGAAAATGCCTATGATCGAGTTTCTTTCCTGTAGCAAGGAATGATGGCCAGAAGGTCCTGCCCAAGTCAGTAGTACTATTCCTTCAGTGCTTTTCTTTATTTCCTTCCTCTTTTTTGAGTTCCCTAAGAAGAACTAGCCTACAGATACTTTCTAGGAGAAGATGCCTGACAAATAGGACAACAGTTCAGGCAAATGGATGTCATTCTTCAGAGAAATAGATTTTCCATGCCTAGACTAAGTCTACACAATCAACAGATTTGCTAGCAATTCATGCAACTAGTAGAAAATACACCATCTTCCCAGAGTGTTCTATGCCTAACACACCACCTGAGACTTCTTGTGAGAAAAGGTGGGTTAGAAATCAAAATGCTTGCACTGCTAGGCGTCACAGACGGGCAGACCAAGAGCTATAGCCTAGTGAGGCAATGCAGCATTCACTAGCCAGATAGTATTTGTCAGATAGTCATATGTGATTGTTCACTTGCATGACATCCACTGAGTTCAGTCTTTTCCTTGCCTTTTCCAGTCCCTTCTCCCCTGCAATGTCAGTTCTCCATTGCATCCACAAGTTGGATTACTGCAGTGCACCCTGTATGAATCCTGCAACAAATCAACAATCACTGCAGTTTCCCCAGCAAAGGCATTGCATGCTGAAAACGGAGAGCTCCTAACCGCAGCCAAGCTGCAGTACACTCTGGGCGGGGATGTTCTTAAGGCAGGTCTGGAAACTGCAGTTAGGACAGAGTGCAGCAGTTCTCTGGAGAGAACAGTTCCCTCAACTGCACTCTGGAGTTACTCCATATTGAAGGAACTGCAGTGGCTGCCTATTGGCTACCAAGACAGGTTTAAGGTTTTGCTACCAGCATATAAACCCCTAAGCAACTTGGGACCAGGTTACTTGACAGATTGCATTCTCCCTTATCAAACTGACCTGTTACAGAAGTCATCAGAGGGCATGTTCATGGTGGTTCCTCATGGATCTATGGCCCAACTGGATTCCCTCCAGAAAAAATCCTTCAGTTTGCTGGCTCTGTTTCTGTGGAACTTCCCACCTCAGGAGGCCAGGCAGGCACCAACATCATGCTGTTTTGGCACCACCTGAGAACATCTGCATTCCAAGAAGTCTTGCTTAACTGGCCTCCTGAAGTTGTGGAGGGATAGGATTATTTGGACCTGGTACACCAAAAGCCAAGCTCCCACCTTCTTCACAGCCAAAGTAGAAAGAGCCATGGTGGTGCCTTTCTGAGAATGCATCTGGGCCTTGGTGGTAGGAAAACCTACCAACTTACTTCACAGGGTTCTTGCAATGGGGATCAGGAGAGTAGTAGGAGAGGAATGGTGTAAGCTGCTTTGAGTTCTTTAAAAAGTTAAAGGTGGGATATAAATCTAATAAATAAATGACTAAAAGAGGCACATTGGGGCAGTAAGGAGAGGAGGAGAGTGTAGCCATCTCCTTATGCTGATTCCTATCAGCACCCCAACCCTCTTTCCTCTCCTTTCACAATGCTAAATCTGGATGGCCAAACATGGCCCTCTGGAGTAAATCTACGAGGTGAGGCATGACAGTGTGAAGCTCAACACTGCCTTGCCTCAGTCCATGCACTGGATGTGCATAAGCCTCAGAGTTTGGAGGTCTGCATGCATCTGCCTCAGATGCGTTGGTTTGCAGCCTTAATCTTTTTAGCTTTCATTGCTTTCTGTTCTAGAATCTGTTCTGAAGCAGAGCAGTATATAAATTTTGCAAAGAACTAACTAAAGAAATCTGATTAAGGGTGCACAAGAATTCCCTCACCCCTGTTTTTAGCAACATTCATCTTCATAATTATGGACCTCATTTTTCCTTGCTTCATTCAATCATATTTAGTTAATTACATTTGTTAAAGACACATTTGGTTTCTCCCATTCATTTTCCATCCACATATACTTTCATCTTTCTTACTTTATTTTTCTTCGTTTTTTAATTTTTATTTTTAAAATTTTGAGCTGGACTCTAGGATTCTTAGATGGATTCTCTAGGTGGCTTGCAGTAAATTGAGCTACCTGCTTGATCTCTTTATTTGTTATATGCAGGTGCAACAAGTTGGACTGACCAAAAGAAATGCCCTGCCTATTTTCCTCTAATACTGTGCCTCAACTGCTTGAGTGTCTTTTTATTTTCCCTTAGCCTGTTCATGAAAGAGTCCTGGTTTATGGTTTATATTTGTGGAGAAACGTCCGTCCACAGTCTAACTTGGTAGCCTGTTTCTGCCTAGCAGTCTAGCACAATCGTGAAGAGTAGGAAACAGTTGCTTCTGAAAGAGACATAAAGGATAGCTAACTAAAACTTCTCAGGAGATAAAGACAACACAACTTTCACAAGGGATGAGACCCACAGCTGGGTTAGAGGGCTAAGCTTAATATCTTGCCAGTCATCTGGAGACAAGTCCACAGTCTAACTTGGTAGCCTGTTTCTGCCTAGCAGTCTAGCACAATCGTGAAGAGTAGGAAACAGTTGCTTCTGAAAGAGACATAAAGGATAGCTAACTAAAACTTCTCAGGAGATAAAGACAACACAACTTTCACAAGGGATGAGACCCACAGCTGGGTTAGAGGGCTAAGCTTAATATCTTGCCAGTCATCTGGAGACAAAATATTGCATTGTCATAAGCATTCTGTGTGGACTGGGCAGTTCCCAGAGTGAGAAATCCAAAATGACCAGTCCAATAACGACTGTTCCTGAGGGCTTTATTCTGCACTAACCCAGCCCTAACCCTGCCCAATTCAGTTCAGGTTCAAAACAGTTCACCATGCCTAGTGAGTCCTGGGCAGCAGGTTGAACAGGCAGGTACACAACTCACCTGGTCTCAGGTTGCAAAAGTGTGGTGAGATGCGTTGTCTTTCCATCTAAATTAAAATGGTATTTCTTCATCATAGTCTCCGTGCATCACAAATATATGGGTGCTGCGCCTACTCAGGGCCTACGTTCGGGAAAATGTCCTAGCTATAATGGTTTTTGGTGGGAACTCCGCAGCCTCCCCCTTGTATAAATGGGCAGAGTCCCCGCCCTCTCGCCAGTCTGCTTTTGACCCCTGTTCACTGTGCCATGGGCTCTTTTCACTTCTTGTTTTTATCTCACAAAACTCTACTCTGTTTCCCTTTACAACTTATCAAAATTAAAATGATATTTCTAAAATTGTGTTCATTCATATCAATTTGGACACATAAATGTTGCCAATGATCTTCTATTTTTCTAGGCATTTCCTCTTCTTTGGTACTGAATAATGGCAACCTACGTGATCCATGCCTTCTGCATATGAGCACTGGATAGGATCCAATGAGTTCATTTAGATTGCTTTAAATTGGAACTTCCTGGCAGCAGTTATGGTGGTGGGGACAGACTAATTCCCATCTCCTTTAATGCCTTATCATAAGCTACTTAATTTCCCCCCTCTCTTTCCAAACAAACAAACAAAACCCCTTTGCCA